ATGTTGGTGCAGCGTTGGTGCGTAGGTGCAGTGATGATGCTTCTTGTACCGAGGATCAGAACTGGAAGACTCAAGGAGGTTGTTGCTGACACGTATGGCAGATAATCAGGTGCGCAGCTTACAGAGGTTGCGGAAATCTACTTCTCACGCAGCAGCACATGCAGTAGAACAGCAGTATACATGAGCAGATTGAGCAGGAGCTTTGAGCAACCTGCAGCAGAAGTTCGACTCGCTGGCCTTGTTCTGCATGGATTGTGAAGAAGAACAAACACCACGCATTGTGGGGCAGCCTGGCTGTGGCTTGCCATGCATGCGGGCAATTTGGAGGCGGAGATGATTTTCCTGAACTGTTTCTGCCCCGATGTGGAAGCGCAGGTCTGGTAACGAACAAGGATCAGTACCCGAGCAGTTTGCACTCCAACTTGCCGCTCACGTGACCAACCGGCTTGAAGCAATGCAGGGAATACGGAGTGCTTTGCAACCTGCTCGGACGACCTGCTCGGAACCAAGCTATTGGATTGCCAAGAGACCTCTGGTGGTCACTGCAGCGACGTGCTGCACATGGCCGACTGGCATGAGGCCTAAAAGACTTGTAGAGTAGAGTGATGGCGCTGGCAGCACACCGGGAACCCGGTGCTCTGTCTTGCTTGTGTGCTGATTGCGCTTGATTGCCTCTGCAAAGTTGCATTTGATTGCTGCCAGACGACTCGGCAGCGTCTCACGGACTTTTCCATCCTAAAGGATGCTGTGACCGAAAGGAAAGAACAGCGCCAGTGCTCTCGGGCTCACAAGTTGGAGAGGGCGTGTGCTGCCGATTGTCAACTTCCCTGCGCAGGCACAGCTAGCCTACCTGAAGCCATTTCAAATTGCAGGGTGCTCAGGGGCCCACTGAAGCTGTGACCTCTAGGATGAGCCCTTTCCTGACAGGCATTGCTGGCCAGCTCAGCAGCGCTCGGAGCCTAGCACGATGATGGCCGTTGTTCGGAGAGTCATGGGTCCGGACCGGATCTATGTTGCAGCAGCAGCAATGGTGCGCCTGTTATTCTTCGTATTCAGCAGAAAAGCAGAAAGTGTGTATCGCAATGGGATGCAAGCCACAAAAGCTGCAATTTCAATAGCTTTTGAACTTTTCAACATGCCAAACCTGTCTGCCTGCAAACACGATACGCAAAAATGCAGGCAACATCACTGCAGGATTTCCATGGAGGGTCAGGATCGAGGCATCATGCTGCCGTCAACACGAAACAAAAAGCTCTCGTGGAGTACCCGATGTCAGAAGAAGTAAGTCCATAGTAAGTACAAAGCAGAGCTTTCCAGATTCAGTTTTGCTGGTTCGCAGCTAAACTCTGATGCCCCAAGCTAGTCACTGACAAAATTGACAAGGTGCTCACCTGCATCCCTGTGAATTTTTCCTCTTTTTTCCTACAAACTTACCGCAATTGTATCTGTGTAAGTCTACTGCACGTCTCAGGCATTTCCGCCTCCAGGATCCCAAGCTCCTGGTGAGACTCGGACAGTCGGTTGGGCCTTGGCGCTCAGAACCTAAGTCAATGCTGCGCTGTACTCATAGTGCATGTCTTGGCAGTCTTCTGTTGTACCTGCTAAGCACTCAGGTCCAACCTGGACTCTTTCAACATGCATCAGGCGCACCATGCTTGTTGTTGTGCCGGATTCCCATGCCCAAGACTGCAGGGTCATTTTGATGATTTTTGGGAGCATGCAGTTCACTACATGCGGGCGCTCCCGACAGGTGGGCATTGTTGCAGAAGCTTTCGATGTCGTGGGTCATCACCACCGCAAATTGGTGGGCAGCGCGCTGAGAAAGACCAGGGACAGAACGCTTGTCCGTATGGCAACGGCAGCCTGTGTCGTGCCCTGGCCATCACTAGCATCTAATGGCTTTGCTGGCTGCTGCATGCAGCGTTGAGCAGAGGTGCAGCTTGAGATTCTGCATGTGGATTTCGTCTGAGCTTCCTTCCAACAGAGCTTTAAACATCGAGCCAAGAGTGATCCAGGCTACATCGAACAGATTCTCCTGAAAGAGCACAGTCCGGAGGCATGCCAGCATTCAGCGCTCATGTTGATTTCGAAGCTTTCAACAAGCTCATGCAGTATGTTGAATAGTTGTGTAACTTGATTCGGAAGTTTCGTGTTCCCTTCCGTGCATGAAATAAGATGGCAGTCAGTTGTGCAATTGTGGCGGGTTTGCAGCCTGCAGGGGGGAAAGGCGCAGATGGCGCAGCCAGGCAGCAGAGGGCATTCAGTTGTTCGGCATGGCTGTCGATAGTTCCCTGCTGTTTAGCAAGCATCTTGCTTCGCTGGTTTTTCTGCGGCGAGCAGCATTGACGCAAGGTGATGCAGGAAGCCGGCGCCGGCTAATTGCAGCCTTGCTTGCCGCTGCAGCACAGCAGGAGTTTATTAAGAGCGGCTTGCTGTAAGCAATGGTTTATCGACAGATTGAGCCATGTAAGACCAGATTTCAGCAGCTAGCCGTGGAGAACAGCCGCCATGCGAAGGAGAATTTTGCTCGTCGCAGCCAGTCCAGTCTACAACGCTTTGCTGAGGAGCTTTGGTTTTCCCCAAGGCATGTTGTTTCATCCTGTCATACCTGCATGGAAGACCAAACAAGCATAATGTGTGATTAGTAGAGTCACAGAGGCCCATGGAAGTCTGCCCAAAATGACTTTCTGACAGTTGTGCCATAGATGTTGTAGTTTATTTGCTGGATACGTCTTTGGCAGCAATTTGCGGCTGTGGCATGGGTCGTAGGTGTCTGGCAATTTTTTAAATTGTTTCTCCTGTTGCATGCTTTCTGGCTTGCTTTTATTGCCAGATTTTCGGCATGTTTTTGCACTTTGTTGGTGGAGTCCCCGAAAGAAGGCACAGGTTCCTGCAAAAGTGTGCACGGACTTTTGTCACAGATTTTCGACGGATCCGTGGCTTCGGGCCAGCCTGGCTTAACCGCCCACCCCAGCCCTGCATTTTTGGACAATTTGTGATATGAAGGATACGTGAAAAAACATGTTTCAAGGTGGGGGGGGCATGGGCTCCCACAACAACGTGCCCTCCGTCAGCTGGCAAAAGGCGGCGAATCGAAGCTGTTCAGCAAAAGTGTTTGTTGCGCGCATTCGTCCCAAAATCAGTGGAACATTTTTGGACAAAGTCTGATTCCGCAGGCGTGGGCCCGGCCCTGAATCTGTGACAAGAGTGGTGTTTGCTTTTTGTGTCTTGGGATTTCCTCGAGACCCTAAGCCTTGCAAAAAGAATCCCACGCCTGCGGAATCAGACTTAGTCCACAAATGTTCCAATGATTTTGGGACGAATGCGCGCAGAAAACACTTTGCTGAACAGCTTCAATTCGCCGCCTTTGCCAGCTGACGGAGGGCACGTTGCTCTATCATTCTACAGTGAAGTGTGCCCCTGGAACAGGGACCATTTGCATCGATCGGTTGGCAGTGCCCAAATACTGCGCCAAAAAATCAGAGATTCAGAGCAGATTGATTTCTAGAATTAGAAAGTTCACAGGTTGCAACGCCCTCGTTTCCACAAAAAACCTACGAAATACATATAATGTTGAACTCAGACATTACCACCCATTCAAACTCACAAGTCTATGGATCTCTAGCCAAGGGGTTAGAGAACATCATTTATATCGTCATCCTGCTGGGCCCCTAGAAAGATCTGGAGATTAGGGCTTGTAGGGCTTAGGGGTTTAAGTGCTGTTGGGTTTAGGAGGGTGTAATTCTGTAGTAGTTCACGGTTTGGGAATAAATCGTTGAGGTTGCATGAGTTGTTTAGGGGGCCAAGCGGAGGCAAGGGTAGCTTTGGCTGGAAAGATCGCGTTGTCATACACTGTTGCACTCAGGAGTTGAAGGGTTACGGAGGCTTTAGGGTTGGAGGTCATGTGCGGTTGATAGGTTTTAAGATCTGTGGTCTAGGCCTTTTTTGGCGGGGTGTTTCAGGGCTCCGGAAGCGCGTTCCAAAACAACTGCAAAAATGTTTGCCAAGATTTTGCGCCACGTCTGCATTCTGTGCAAAGCGCGAGCAAGATGCCTGCAACAGTCAGATTTCCCTTTTGGAGAAGCTTGTGCCCAGACTTTCGGAGAAAACATTGTTCATGTAATTTGGTGGGTTTTTGCAGGCTTCATGCGGCATGGTTGCAGGCCTCTCCACGAGGCCCAACTATTGAACCTACGTTTCCAAAACAAGTTCACATGCAAGAGCACTTGCAGCCCATGCTGCGACCCAAATTCGCTGCCGCAAAATCATTTCGCAGAATCCTGAAGCATGTACTGCAAAGAGTGTGACTCGGGCAGCTGGGGCCGGCTTGTTGCAAATTTCATGCACATGTGAGTTTGCAATTAAATTTGCTACCAATTTCAAGGAGCTCTCAGAAGATCTCAAATCTTACGCCGCTGGTCTGCATGAAAGAGAGCCGGTGGAGCGTATATTTGTTGGGGACGTGCTGGGTGACATCATGTGTAATCCGGGTATTCCACACTTTGCTGGCTGCTTCGGCATGCGCATGAATCATGCCATGCTTATCTCGGCATGTGCAGCCCACAATCTTATAGCCTCCTTTCAACAGGCTCCACCCGCAGATGAACTGCGCAGGCAGGTGCATCTTGGCGGCTCTCGAAACTAAGTCAGTCCTTTGCCAGCTGAATGACATGATGGCTTGCCGCCGCTCCAGCCTTACTACGGATAGCATTAGGACACGATGTGGAAGTAGAAGCACGTTGACAGCAGTCGCCTGCTGAACAGAATGTGCTGCGCAGGGGTACAATTTCTAGCGGTCATATCGAATTCCAGTTGTACACGTAGGAGTCTCGATCTTGCTCCCCAAAGGGGACGTGGATCTAACTTAGCTGGCATCCGGAAGCTGCAAGGTAACGAACTCTGCGACATTTTCTGATCCTATCTGCATTCAACCTGTAACTCCCTTGCAACTTCCGGCTAGGGGCATAGTTCATGGGTCGTGACCGGCTGTTGGAGACGCCATGCCGGTGAGAAGGTGCGGGGAGTCACTGCAAGCCAGAATCTAGATGTGAGTCAGAATATGTCAGAATCAGGCTGACTTCATGATGCAGCAAGCGTCGTGTATCATGGTTTGCCCAATGTTTTACACAATTGACACCGTTTGAAAGGCCAGGAGGAAAGTATCGAGGTCCGGGCCCTGGTCTCGCTATCATGTTGACATGTCAGTCTTTGTGACCGCGCTGTTTTATCACCTAGCCGTCATTGCGCCTCTAGGCCTCATCGCTCGAAACAAATCAGATGCCGAAATCGCCAAGGAGGAGCGTGATAGGGCCTTGCAGCTTCTAGGTTTTGTGGCTTCTGGGAAAGGGAAGTGCCAACCTTGGCGTGGATGGATGCTTTTGGCCTTGGCTCCCTCCTGGTTGCGTCGGCATCGCAGGCGCGTGACCGGCTGCGGCGCGCTACAGAGGCCTGGGTAAGCGGTTGCAACGCTCCGCTGCGGAAAACGAGTCTACATCCGCATGCGCCAGCACATTCTATTTGGCATTGGAAAGAAGATTCCTGGGTAGGCTGCTGTACTGGATACTAGCTGCTGTTGATCCTTTTTTGCATGAGCTTTTCTTTCTGTCATCAAGCCCAATTGCACGCAGCAGCCAGGCGGCTATTCGCAGAGGGAAAGCCAGGAAGAACAAGGACCTTGTGCCCCTTGTGCCGGTACATGCAGATTTAAATATCTCTTGCTCTTCCATCATCGTACGACACGCCGTATGCAGGGGCATGATCGCACAGCTGTTCATCCCCACGCTGACAGTGTGGCTGCAGTGACAGGACCCTTTGGCGGGCACAAAGCTGAAGAAGAAAGAGGATTGATGCTTGGGATGGCTTGTCGGTTCTTTTTTCCGAGTTTCTAGTCAGCCTGCTCAGCTGCCTAACCTGGGCAGGAGGAAACAGAGGCTACACGCCAGCAACGAATCCTCAACATGCTCATCGGAGGATGGGCCATTGTCTGGCATTTGTTTATATACTTCTGGTCGCGCAGTTGTAAGGCGTCGTTGGGCCTTGGAGAGTGCATGCTGGCCTGTGTGAACTTCTGGTTTGGTATAGATCCAGCAGACCTCCTCATGAGATAGTTCTAGAGGTGATTCCAGAACTCGAACAGGCATCTAGACTGGAATAGCGCGCTGCTATAGCCATTGCAAACAGCAGTTTAACATGAAAGCATTAATCTTATCCAAAGATGATGGTTTACCAGAGTATCGTAGCTGCTGACGCAGTTTCAGGATTGCAAAATGCTTTCTTGGACCCGTCAAGGCAAAAAAGGAAACATGAAGAAATTCTTCCTGGCCTGGCTAGTTCGTGCCTCAGTTCCATGCTGCCAGCACGACATCATGACGTGAAGATGTCAACCTTGTGCTGACCGTAGAGCAAGGTGCAGGTAGATGTTCATGGTTCTCACTACCATGCACGCTGGAGAATGCATCTCATACTAGTGCTTCTTCACAACCGATGAGGGAGCAAGCTCCTTCCTCTCAGAGGGTTCAGCATTTTGTTGCTTACTGAGACTGGAGTTCAGATCCAGATCAAGGACCTTGTGATGCGTTGTTTGCTGTGTTGGCAGAGACGTCATGAAGATCTGCACAAGTGATCACGGCGCACACGCTGCGGTGACACAGATGCTTGTGCCACTCCGTCGTTTGGATGGACCTGCGCGTCTTACATTTGGTGCATGTCCGGCTTGGCCTTGGAAGCGAGAACGTGAACGATAGGTCATGAGATGGCTTCGCCACTGTGCCAGGTAGCAGCCACACCAATGTTTGAGCAGACCATTGCAGCAAAAGCTTGGCTGCGGGGCAGGAGAGCATGATCGAAGAACGTGAGATGGCGTGGCAACGCACCTGCGTAAAAGACGCCAGGCTCTCAGCGAGATGCAGGCAGAGGCAGAAACACAATCCTGTAATCTTCACTTGAAAGCAAGGGTTGAAGAGCAATCTAATACGGCTTTCGCCAGTATCGAGGCCAATATCCATTCATACCTTTCAAACAGGCTTCCAGATCATGAGACCTAGGCGTGCACCACTCGCAGGTAACATTGCTTGTGGGAGTGAAACTACAAAAGGAGGCAGAAGAACGCAAGCAATAGAGATGGTCTGTGTGTAGATCATGCCTTGGGCTGACATGACTTTGGCAGCTAACGCTGCAAAACCTTGGAAATGATGGGAGAGATAGCAGCGACAACCAATGATGCAGCCAACCGTGCTACTTAAGACGTTTTACCTAAGCATTCAGTTGACACAGGTTGACCGGGGAGACAATTAAGAACTACAACTCCAAGCTCATGTCAATTAGCCGGATACACAATTTCAAGCGTAGCTCATTTGAGCACTTGGATGACCGGCTGCATCCTGCTGCACTTTCAACAGACTGCTACCCTTGTGACCGCTCAGGCCCACGGGAAGTGCCATGCTGATGCCAGGCTGGAGTGCTATGAGGGCACCACGGTAATTTGAGTTCCAAGCAAAAGCAAACATCACGTAGCATCATGTCTTTGCTCTGAAAGAGCACGCGAAATCACAGGCTGTTTGATGCTTGTCTGCCTTGTGAGACCTCATCTGCCAGCCGTCTTTAAATGCACATTTTCAGGAACAAGTGCACCCTAAATACATCATGCCGGCAGTCATGCCGGAAGACTATTTGAGATACCAGAGTTCGCCATTTCGGCAGCAAGTCAAGACTTTTGCCATTGAGCGCAGGATCACGCCGACTCAGTTCGAAATGCCAATCGAGGCTTTGGCTAGAGCAGGCAGCCGTGCACAGCTTTTTCACGGAAAGGATCACGTCCCGACTTCATATGAACCGAGCAGCGCTTCTGTGCTAGGGGCCTGGACGGGCGGCTTGGGCTCTGGTGGTTTGCCTCGAAAGCTTGTGGGGCCCCGAGAAAACTGCAGTGTGACTGCCGTTGCCGTCTGCCAGTTTCAAACAACATGAAACGGAAACCAGTGGGAAAAACCGGATCGGTAGGCTGGCATTTTGTTCTGCCATTCAAAAAACAGATGCCAAAGGTTCCTGCATCACGTGCAGCTACTTGTACTGCAGGCTGATTCATTGGCGGCAGCAGCAGCTTGGCATAGTGTAATTCTTCAGGTTCTGGATTCTGTCTTCTGGCATTCTTGACGTCACCTACACAGCTGCGCATCTCAATCCTATTCAGGTTAATGCTCTACCGAGACCGCACAGTGTGGGAAACTTCAAGGACTTTCGGTGCAGGGTGCGTCTGGATGAGTGCAATGTCTTTCGCCCGTCTGGGCCGGGGGGCAATTCTTCGGAGCACCCTGCGCTGCCGGGGCCGTGCTCTTCATTCAGGGGCACATAGCTTGCTCCTGGCTCGGGGCCTTGGGGTTTTAAGTCCACGTGCCAGAAAGGACAAGGTTTCTGCTCCTGTACAGAAGCAAGGAATGCAATGCCAGTGCTGAGCATGCGCATGCGGGGTGGATAGCCCTTGCCTAGTTGTGCCCTGGGGCACGCTGCGCTGGACAAATGGACGAGTCAGAAAGCACACGGTTGATCAGACGAGTCGGCTTCAGACAGTCTTTTTCGACACAACATCCTGGCATGTTTTAACGGTTCTGATCCTGTATGATTTTAAGTTCCCCATCTTGGCTTGCAGCTTGGTTGCATTTGTGATGTTTGAGGGGCATGGTAAACCACTGGCCGTAAGTGCTGATCCAGGACTTCAAGCCGGCAGCGCCCAGGAACGCTTGGCTCCAGGCTCCCACAGAAACTGTGCGGATCCCAGGAGGGTGTTATGCCTCTATATTTTCAAATTGTTGTTGGATATTTGCTGTGATCTGCTGCTCCATGAAGCCTATAGAGGGCCTAGAGGTGGAACGTACCGGCCGTCTTCTCGTTCTGGCTTGGGCATATGCAGAATTTGGAGTCGTTGACGCTGTCGCTAAGTTAGGTCGCTCACTACAAGAGCGGCCGGAAGTACAAGCTGGACACGCCAACGAACACTGCTTCTGCTTCTGAGATTCTGAATTTACAGCTCCTGAATGAAGCAACTTTGTTTTCGTGCTTTTGGGATGTGCGTTCTGCAGATTGACTTAGGAGGTTTGAGGCGCAGGGCTCTGAATTGCAGCAACGCTCGAAGCGGTGCTTATTGTCTCCAGCCTGAGCAGGACCCGCTCAATATGCGACTGTCAGCAATTCATATGCCGAGCCCAGGCTCAATTGGAGTTTCTGGTTTCTTGCAAGGCAATCCTTCACGGCATGTTGGTTTGGTCCCAGGAATCCTACTAGCAACTCAGCTACCAACTCCTCTGGAGAGACTCCGCGTGAGGAAGAGGAGAATATCAAGGCAGGGCAGCGGAGTTTGGCATGAAGCCATGTTTCACGAGCGCTCGTAATTTCAGGGGACTTTTGTACACCTGGCATAGCGTGGCACGGAACTGCATTTTTGCAGAGACGCTGTTGCTTGAACCGCAGGTTCCCGGTCAGGTTCGCTTCGTAGATTCACCGGTTGCGCGACGTCCTCCGAAGATTCAGGCATGGTTTCTAATATGTTGCTAGCGTTGCAGGGTTGGAGCAGTTGCAGAGCCTGACAAAGTTTGACTCAGCTGATTAAGCCTGCTTGGAGCTTCGTGGCATTGCCAATTGCCAGGCCTGGATCTCAGATCTATGAGATGGCGTGTGAGCTCCGCCAGCAGAGTATGGCACCCAGGTCGCCTTTGCTCTGGCACCAGTGCGCTAAGAATGGTTTCAGGCCATCTCACATTGCTCTCAGGTGTTGAGAACCGCCGCTACTAAGTCTACTTGCCGCACCACGTCTGAGACTACTGACTGATCGTATCTAGGTTGGGCGCGTGCTGTGCCAGCAGCAACTGGATGTGTCTTCACCAGTTCTGACTCATTCGACACAGTTACGCAGCAACAGTTTGTGTTAGCCATATCTGGATCTGGTGGATCGTAGAGCTGGCGTTGCTTGTAAGTTCTTGTCAGCTCTCTTTCAAGTGCAGCTCCCTGGGCCATAGTTAGGCAATCCGTATCACAGTTGGTGAAGCCACTGCAAGTACATTCGAAGAATTAGACCAGGGCCAGAAATTGACAGTGAAGGCGGCCTCGAAGCACAACAGTTTCAGTCAAGTTCTGGCCCTGTCAGACAGCATGGTAGGTAGAGGACCATTGGCAGTTCGATTTGTGATTCTAGTTTCACCACGTTCTGCTGCTTGGACTCTTCCGCTTCTCTCGAGGCATGGATGTCAGTTTCGGGATGGACTACATAATTCGCAGATTCTGGCATCATATCATACAGATTCCAATGAACGCCCCCAGAAGCGGCAAAGACCTGGTTGAAGCTAGCACCAAGCAAGGCCAGCCCTTGCTGTGCTGACCTCTTCTGCAGAGGATGACGCCCAGCGTGATCAGGATGTTTTTTTACCTCCAATGCTGCACAAGGTCATATGCATGATTCATGGTTCGTTAGCTAATTTCAGCGCACCATAAACCTGATGCTGAAACCAACTCGCTCGCGCTCATCATGTGCTGGATCAGGGTTCAAAAGACACGAGCGGAAGTCAGTGTTGTATGGCGAAAGTGGCTATCTGAGATGCCGCTTGGAACCTTTGGTGCCGAGAGTATTGACACTGATATGCAGGGCTCCACAACAAGCTTCGGGCAATCTGCGTTCCCGGATCAGGATGCTTTCAAAACGTGCTTTCACTCCAGTTGCTGCTGCACAAGCTGGTGCAATCTTTCATGCTATCGTGCATCATTTGGCAATGAAGATAGGGAAGCTGGAAAACCAAACATGTCAACATGTTGGGAGAACAGCTTTGCCGGTAGGAGCACTATTGAAGCTGCCGGACAAGGTGCAGCTTTGCAAAGTCGAGTCGCGTCTGCGCACCTGCGTGCATGCTAAGATGATGCACCCGTAATACAGCACGGGTACTGGTAACGAAGGAAGTGGCAGCAGTACCGGCTTTGGTGGCAGTAGAGGA